GGGGGGCAGGTCGAGCCAACATCAAACACCGATGCTTCCATTGTTAACATTGTGATGATGGGGCTCTCCTGAAGCAGGTGAGACCCTCATTTTTGGGAGGGAAAGGAGGCTTCCCGGCTGCTCAGACCGAATGATGGATGCACAATTTTTAAGGATGCATAAATTCCCCCCCCCCACCCGCCGGACGCACACATCCGCCCAGGCTGCGTTGCAACCGGTGGGGGCCGTCCTGCTCTCCCCTTCCCACATCTGTCCTGTCCTTTGGTACTTCCATTCCCCTCCAAGGTGGCTTCCCTTTTACAGGAGGGGAAACTGAGGCCGACACAACTGTCCCTCTCTCTCTCTCTCTCTCTCTCTCTCTCTCTCTCTCTGTCTCTGTCCCTCTCTGTCTCTTTCCATTTCTTTCCTAAGGGATATGGGAGACGGTTGCGATGAAACCAGCGGAGCCAAGGAAGGCATGTCGTATCCTCACCAGGATTTCGGGCGAGCAGAGAAATCCGGACATCAGACGGTGAGAGATTCCCAGAGGAATCTGGATGGGACGACCCTCAAATATGCAGGAATTCATTCGGTTTTTTCCTTGCATCAATATGGATGAATACTGACCGTCCTGAATATTTAATGCACAAGGATGAAAATAAACATACTTGTGTCCGGCATTATTCCGGGGTGAGGTTCTTGGAAACGAGGCAACCGTGTCCTCTTTAACACTAAACATTATAGGTTATTAAATTATAAAATGAAACGAAATACTTATCCAAATCAGGAACTGCAAGCAGTCTAAATTGCAAGATTTCACTGCTCGTCAATTCAGACACTGTTGGTCTTCCTGAAACCCCCCCCCTTTTTTTGGGGGGGGAAGGATGGAAGAGACCAACATTTGATCTTCTGCAAAATTGGAATAATTTGAGCCTACGTTTCTCCGAATTCGCTTCTCTTTTTTTTATCGTTCCACTGTTAATCCCAGCATAATCATCTTTATGATTCTCGACCATGGTTGAAAGTTAGGGGTTTTGCTTTCGGGATAGCGTAGGTGAATTTTTAATTTCGCCGCAACGCAAAGAGCCGACACTTTGCTCCCCAAAATAGGGTTACGAAACAAAATTCTCCCAAAAGAGGTGATCCGAATTAGCCAAAGGAGGAAAAAAAAAGAAATCCTTCGATCTGATTTTGGCTTTTCTGGATCGCAGGTGTCCTTCAAGATAAATCTTTCCGATACGCTTCTCTCGTATCGCCCGTTCTTGGGATGTGACCGAGGCTTCATCTGAACGATGCCGGAAAGAGGGGGCAAAAGGATGCCAGGGCAAAACAGTTGCAGTGGCATTTCCTGGGTTCACGCACTTGCTAAACCATGGCCACAAATGTTCAGACGGTGCTTCGAAGCAAGGCAAACTACGGGATGGCATAGCCCAGGTAACAACTGTAAATCGAAAGTAATCCCGATGCAACCCCCCCCCCAATATTACACACAGTAGCCTTGCTGCAGAAAATGGGGGAAAGTGAAGAGGAACAATTGTCTGAATCCCTTCCGCAAATACACACTTGACAGGGTTTGTGACAGTCTGGATTATCCAGCTAACACCAAATCCTGAGCAAAAATAAATTAGCCTTTGAAAGAATATAATCTACCTCTCTCTCTCTCCCCCTCCCTAAAAACATACATAAACGCACACATGTATCCCCCAAAAAATGCAAAAAAAATATTAATGGATATCTCAATTTAATTCGCGTCACGATAGATGGGTAAAGAATTTAAGAGGAGCAAGGAAGGAGTGGACGCAACATGTTGGTATCCTCAAAGTCCTAACCCGCAACTGGTCAAAGCTTATACTTATAAGTTCAAATCTCACCAGGCTCAAGGTTGACTCAGCCTTCCAACCCTTGCGAGGTAGGTAAAATGAGGACCCGGATTGTGGGAGCAATAAGCTGATTTTGTATAAAAAAAAGAACACCGCTTTGGGGGGTGTATATACCTACTAAGCAGGTATATACAAAAGTATGAAGGCTATTGCTTAACGCATTGTAAGCCGCCCTGAGTCTCCGGAGAAGGGCGACATATAAATCGAACCAATAAATAAATAAATAAATAAATTTGGTTTTCGTTAGCTGCCCCAATATTTCCAACTCCACGCAGCCCCCCCCCCCCAAAGCCACCCGGTTCAATAACCCCACAGTACAAATCCGGCTGCTCTTAAGAGAGGTGCTATTTGTCTCGGGGTGGCTGGGCGGGTCTCGCAAGGACTTTCCCCAATTCTTCCTGTCCATTTGCAACAGCTGGATTTGCCCTGCCTGGCTGTCCGGGTGGGGGTGGGGGGGGTGGGAGAGTGAACGCAGGGCCCGTAGTGACCAGGCTCACGTCCCAGTTGGACTTCTGCCTGTACAGAAAGGCTTCTACGTACTTATGAAAAATACGCTTGATCCTGTGGTTACAGGAAGTCTGGATGCTCCCCCTAAGCTGAGTGGGGTTTCCCTGCTCCCACTCATGGAGGGGGGGGGGGGAAATGGATCCATGCCCACCTTCCCTGAAAGGGGAGGCATCCATCGGCATCCCTGCAGGTTGGGGTGCCACTTCCTCCGCCCCATGGAAAGTTCTCCCCAATGGATGCGCTCCCCAGAGCAGCCAATTTGGAGAAATGTTGCATCTTCCCTCCAAAAAAAGGGGGCCTAGCCATCTAGCCTGCTCAGGGGGGGGTGCGTGTGCATGGGGGGGGGAAGCCTCCCCTCAAGGCCCCCTCTCCACTCCAGAGCCCCAGCCTGTCCAGGCAAGCCAGCCAGCTAAGCAAGCAGGCTGTCAGAATCGTCCCGTCCCTCTCGCAACGGCAGCCAATGGCTACGGCTCTACGGCCCTCCTCCCTCCCCTCTCGGAGGGCCCCCTCCTGCCAGCCCTTGCAACCGGGACAGGGCAGGTGGGCTCGGGGCTGACACCAGCCCCCTTGCAGGAGGAGGAGGAGGAAGAGGACGAAAGCCAAGCTGCCGGCCACGTTGACAGCTGCCAAGTCCCATTCTTGGACATGCAACCAGGGATTGGGGGAGTGGGGGCGCGAGAGGGGTGGGAAGAAGCCACTCTCCACCAATCCCTCCTCCGGGCCAGCCCACCCTCCCCCCCTTCCGATCCCCCATCCCCCCCCCAGCCAGTCTTCTGCCTACCTGAAGGGGCCGAACAGGTCATCCATGACAGTGACAGCTTCGCCCGGGCGCTGCAACGGATGCTACCTGACCTTGCCTCTCTCTGTGGCTCCAGCAAAAGAGGGGAGGGGGTGGGCAAAAAAAAACCCCCAAAAACCCCAGGAAAAGAAGAAGCAGAAGGGGAGGGGGGAAGAGAGTCGGCCTGCTTCCTCTCCCCCCCCCTCCCCAGCTGAACTAATCAAAATGGAGGCCCATGCAGTCCGAGGTAGACCCCGGGAGAGCTTTCGCCCGAGCTTGTGCGGTGACCTCAGCCCCGCACGCAGGACGCAGAAAACTTCGCCCTTAAGACTGGCGGCACTGAGCATGTGCTGTGACCCCCCCCCCTCCCTCCTCTCCTGTTTCCGTAAATAAAGCACCGCCACACAGCCGCGCACGGGGAGGAGGGCTGCACCACCACCGCCAGCCCAGCCACAAAACGCAGCGACGAGAAGACGTCGGCTGCTTCGCCTAGCAAGCTAGTGTGCAGGGAAGTGGGGCCCTTTGCAAGGGAGTCTGAGACGGGCAACGTACGTTCGGGGAGGAAGGTCTGGCTCCATCCAAGGTGGGGGGTGGTAGTGGGGGGGGGGGCTTGCACCCTCCCTAGAGGAGAAGACAGGCTGCAGGGACAGGGAATCACACACATGCTCGCATACAACCGCTACCTTTTCATTTCTTTCGGGGAGGGGGATCCCTTCTGCCGGAGGGGTCCAGATGCACAAGCCAAGGTATAAATAGAAGGCCAGGCAGGATATAGCTTGCTTTTCCATCCACCTCACAGGTCCCCAACAGGGTGTCCTACTACACGGGCTTATTCCCTAAAGTTGGGGAGGGGGGCTGTTGGACTCCACCATGCTCAGAAGCACACAGCACACACACACACACACACACACACACACCAGATTGAGCTTTGGGGCACGACCCAAGCAAATGGCCAACGGATTTGGAGCAAGGATGCCAGCCTGGAACGAGCTACCCAGCCTGGTCACGTCTGGGAAAGGGTCCAAAGGGAGAAGGGGACCCACATTGGGCCAGGACCAATGATGCTCCCTGGGGGGGGTGGGGGGAAAGTGGGAGGGGACAACAGGGAGGAACAGGGCGACTGAAGCCAAGGTACGATGAGTAAGAAGTCAGTTTCAGTGGGTGAAGAAGGGAGGGAGGGAGAGAGGAAAGAAGGAAGGGAGAGAGAGAGGGAGGGAGGAAGATAGGAAGAAAGAAGGGAGGGAAGGAGGGAGGAAGGAAGGAAAGAAGGGAGGAAGGGAGGGGGGAGGGTGAGAGAGAGGGAGGAAGGAGGGAGGGCAGGAGGAAGGAAGGGAGGAAAGGAGGGAGGAAGGAGGGAGGGAGAGAGGAAGGAAGGAAGGAAAGAAGGAAGGGAGGGAGGGAGGAAGGGAGAGGGAGGGAGGAAGGAAGGAAAGAAGGAGAAGGGAGAGGGGAGGGGGAAGGAAGGAAGGAATGAAGGAAGGGAGGGAGGAAGGAAGGAAGAAGGGAGAGGGAGGGAGAGAAGGAAGGACAGAAGGAAACAAGGGAGGGGGGAGAGAGGGAGGGAGGGAGGAAGGAAGGAGGAAGGGAGGGAGGGGGGAGGAAGGAAGGGAGGAAGGATGGAAGGAAAGAAGGGAGGGAGAGAGGAAGGAAGGAGGAAGAAAGGGAGGGAGGGAGGAAGGAAGGAAGGAAGGAAGGGAGAGAGGGAGGAAGGAAGAAGAAGAAGGAAGGGGAGGAGAGGGAGAAAGAGGGAGAGGGAGGGAGGGAGGGAGGAAGGAAGGAAGGACAGAAGGAAAGAAGGGAGGGAGGAGAGAGAGAGAGGAAGGAAGGAAGGAAGGAAGGAAGGAAGGAAGGAAGGAAGGAAGGAAGGAAGGAAGGAAGGAAGGAAGGCAGGCAGGCAGGCAGGCGAGGGGATGCTAGGTCAATTCAAACATGGACTCGTGAGAATAAGGACTGACGTAAAGGAAAATAAACCGATCTTACGAAAAGGACCGAGCGAAGCATTAATAAGAGTTTTCACCAATCCAGAGACAAACCAAAACCCTCCCGTTTGAATTACAACAGATCAGAAAGAGCAGAGAAACTCCGACCTACTTCTGTGATTCTAATCACAGTACCTCCGACAATAAAACAGCCTTCTTGGGGATCTCGGTGAGATCTGTTCCTTCATCTGGCCTACCTCGAAGGGCTGGCATTTTGTCCCCATCGCAGTGATCCTCCCGGTGACTCTGGTAACTTCCCCAGCGCGACTGATTCCTTCCCCCCCCCAGCTGTTCCCTCCTCCTACGGAAGGGCTAAGATCTTGCAACCCTCCAGATGTGGCTGAGTTACAACTCAGGGAAGTGGGAGCCGTCCTTCAAGCAACACAGGTGGGCTCTACCTGTGGGGCATCTCCCTCCCCATCCTGGCCTGGGGGGGGGGGATTTCAAGCTCCTGGGCCTGAGTGACGCACCCCACAAAGCTATTTCTGACCTCCAAGGCCCACGCACGTTCAGCTGGTAGTCCTCAGCTTATGTCCTCAGCTTTATGTTTGCTAAATTTTGTCAAGGGAATCTCTGCACGGTTGTTAAGCGAATCCCGGCTTCCCCGTCGACTCTGCTTGACGGAAGGTCGCAAAAAGGGGAGAATCGCATGACCCCGGGAGGGCGGGAGGATGACGACGCTACGACTGTCGTAAAGGTGAGTCGGATGTCAAGCGCCTGAATGGAAATCACGTGACCACAGGGGGTGGGAGGAGAGATGCTACAACGGTCGTTAAGCGTGAAAAATGATCCTAGGTCCGCTTTTTATGAATCTTGGGAATCTTATCTTTCCATTCTCTTTTTAATGTACATTTTAATGTAAATTTTAATTTGTTCTTAACCTGGGGTTTTAAATTGATTTAATTCGATTTTACTTCTGCTCTTAAATTTTTGTATTCTGTGTGTTTTTATCTTGGGCCTGTTCACCGCCCCTGAGTCCTTCGGGAGTAGGGCGGTATATAAATCAAATAAAATGTAAAAAAATGAAAATGAAATATCTTCTTGGGGCTCTGACGCTGGCACCAGAGAAGATGCTGAAACACCCCTCTACAAATACACAGAAAGCACACAAAGCTCATTTACACTATTTATTTTTCTTTTTCCCAGAGAGAACCTCCTGCCAGGAATTTGCCACCGACTATTTTTTTCCACCTGGGAAACAACCGAGGCCCCCATGAGCTTTTCGGGAAAACGCAAATCACTTTGAGAAGGGTAAAGGGAAGGAGGGGAGGGGGATGCCAGGCAGCCTCGGATCCCCCTTGCTTTTAAACTGCGCTCAGCAGGTTTTTTTCTTTTTAAAGCCAGGCTAAATGAAATGCCAGCCGAGGAGATTCGCATTCGAGGCAACGGCAAGCTCATTGGTGATGCCTCCCGGGAACCAGGAGGGGCGAAACCCGGGTTCCAGCCGGCAGCGTGGCAGGAAGACAGGATAGCAGTCGTCCAATATTTGAGGGGCTGCCCTAAAGAAGAGGGAGGGTCAAGCTATTCTCCAAAGCGCCCGAGGGCAGGACGAGAAGCCAAGACGGATGGAAACTAATCGAAGGAGAGAAGCCACCTGGAATTAAGGAGAGATTTCCCGACGGTGAGAATAATTAACCAGCGGAACGACTTGCCACCAGGAGTTGCGAATGCTCCAACACTGGAAGTTTTTAAGAAGAGGTTGGATAACCATTTGTCTGAAGTGGTGGAGGGTTTCCTGCCTAAGCAGGGGGTTGGACTAGAAGACCTCCAAGGTCCCTTCCATCTTCTCTATTCTATTCTATTCTATTCTATTCTATTCTATTCTATTCTCTCCTCTCCTCTCCTCTCTTCCATTCCCTATTCTATTCCTATAATTCTATTCCTATAATTCTAATTCTAAATCTAATTCTAATCTCTTCTATTCCTATTATTCTATTACTATTAATAGATTTTTTTTTTTTTTTAATTTGATTTATATGCCGCCCTTCTCCGGAGACTCAGGGCGGCTTACAATGCATTAAGCAATAGCCTTCATACTTTTTGTATATTTATACAAAGTCAGCTTATTGCTCCCACAAACCGGGTCCTCATTTCACCTACCTTAGAAAGGATGGAAGGCTGAGTCAACCTTGAGCCTTGGAGAGATTCGAACCAGCAGAAATTGCAGGCAGCTGTGTTAATTACAGGGTGCACTAAACCCCTGTGCTATCAAGGCACATAATTAATATATATTATATAATAATCTATAATAATATTCTATTAATAATAGAATATTACTATTCTATTATTCTCTAACTAACTCTAACTCTAACTCTAACTCTATTCCATTCCATTCCGTATTTTCTATTCTATTCTATTCTATTCTATTCTATTCTATTCTATTCTATTCTATTCTATTCTATTCTATTCTATTCTATTCTATTCTATTCTACTCTACTCTACTCTACTCTACTCTATTCTATTCCCTGAGACTTCACAAAGCTACTATCAATTGAAGCAGACAGTTTGGGGAGTTTTAATAAAGGGATCTAATATTGTACTATTTCTTATATTCTTTCTTCTGCCAACGAAAAGGGTTTCCTGCCTGAGCAGTTGGACTAGAAGACCTCCAAGGTCCCTTCCAACTCTGTTATTCTAGCATTAGTAAATGGATCTAATATGTACTATTTCTTGCATCCTTTCTTCTGCCAAAGAATATAAAAATACTGAAAATAAAACCCAGCCAATATGAGAAAGACCCTCAAATTTAGCTGCCGGTGGCTCAGCCCTAAGAACTCAAAACCCAAACAAAAAGTGGAACCTCCAGCTCGGTTCTCAGCCCGGCTCTAGATTCAAACTCAGCACCACGCAGGTGTGAAGGCATTCCTAAGCAGGAAGAGTTGACCCGGGTTCAAATCTCGAGTCTAAAGGCTTCATTTCAGAGGAGGGTCCCTGATTATAATTAACCAGACATGAAATCAAGAGGATGACATCCTTTTCGCGGAGGCCCAAAGACCGCCACCCGCATACAGATAGTCCTCAACTTACGACCGCAATGGACGTTGCCTAAGTGAGACATTTGTGAAGCGGGTTTCGCCTCATTTTTACGACCTTTCTTGCCACCGTTGCTAAGCGGGTCGCTACAAATTATTAAATCAGTAACATGGTTGTTGAGTGAATCTGGCTTCCCCGGTCACTTCGCTTGTCAGAAGGTCGCAAAAAGGGACACCGCAAACCGTCGTAAACGCGAATCAGTTGCCAAGAGTCTGAGGTTTGATCGTGGCGATGGCGCAACGGTCATGTGAAAAATAGTCCCAAGTCACTTTTTTCAGGGCCGTTGTAACTTCAAGTGGTCACTAAGCGAGGGTGAGACAGAACGGCCATATAAATCTGACAAATACATAAATATTCCTTTGCGATACCGATCGGGTGCCCAGGCGGTTCTACGAGCTTGCAACAAGTCAGGAGGGCATCACAATTATGAAATCCTCCCCCCTCTCCCCAAATTTGGACCATTAGTTCAAGCTACAAGCAGGGGTGAAACCCAGCAGGTTCTAACAGGTTCTGAAGAACCGGTAGCGGAAATTTTGAGTAGTTCAGAGAACTGGCAAATACCACCTCTGGCTGGTCCCAGAAAGGGGTGGGAATGGGGATTTTGCAATATCCTTCCCCTGGAGTGGGGTGGGAATGGGGATTTTGCAGTGTCCTTCCCCTGAAGTGGAGTGGGAATGGGGATTTTGCAATATCCTTCCCCCAGGAGTGGGGAGGGAATGGAGATTTTGCAGTGTCCTTCCCCTGGAGTGGAGTGGGAATGGAGCTTTTGCAATATCCTTCTCCAGGAGTGGGGTGGGAATGGAGCTTTTGCAGTATCCTTCCCCTGGAGTGGTGTAGGAATGGGGATTTTGCAATATCCTTCTCCCAGGAGTGGGGTGGGAATGGGGATTTTGCAGTGTCCTTCCCCTGGAGTGGGGTGGGAATGGAGATTTTGCAGTGTCCTTCCCCTGGAGTGGAGTGGGAATGGAGATTTTGTAGTATCCTTACCCTGCCACGCCCCCCCGAGCCACACTACACTCACCAAGCCACGCCCACAGAACCGGTAGTAAAAAAAAAAATTGGATTTCACCGCTGGCTACAAGCTACTTTTCCCCCCCCCCCCGAGTGTGGGGTGGGAATGGGGATTTTGCATGTGATGCGTCCTTTCCCCTGGAGGTGGGTGTGGGAATGGAGATTTCTGCTTAGTGTCTTTCCTTCCCCGGATGTGAGTGGGTCTGTGGGAGGTGGTGGGATGGGAATTGGGATTTTGCACTAATCCCTTGGACTGCCCTGGGAATGGGATTTAGCAGTGCCTGGAGTGGAGTGGGAATGGGGATTTTGCAATATCCTTCCCCGGAGTGGGGAGGGATGGAGATTTTGCAATATCTTCCCCTGGAGTGGTGTGGGAAATGGAGATTTTGCAATATCCTTCCCTGGAGTGGTGTGGGAATGGAGATTTTGCATCCTTCCCCTGGAGTGGTGGTGGGAATGGAGATTTTGCAATATCCTTCCCCAGGAGTGGTGGTGGGTATGGAGGATTTTGCAGTGTCCTTCCCTGGAGTGGGGTGGGAATGGAGCTTTTTGCATATCCTTCCCCTGGAGTGGAGTGTGTGGGAATGGAGATTTTGCAGTGTCCTTCCCTGGAGTGGTGTGGGAATGGAGATTTTGCAATATCCTTCCCCAGGAGTGGGGTGGGAATGGGGTTTTTGCAGTGTCCTTCCCCTGGAGTGGGGTGGGAATGGAGCTTTTGCAGTATCCTTCCTGGAGTGGAGTGGTGTGGGAATGGGATTTTGCAGTATCCTTCCCCTGGAGTGGTGTAGGAATGGGGATTTTGCATATCCTTCCCCCAGGAGTGGGTGGGATGGGGATTTTGCAATATCCTTCCCAGGAGTGGGGTAGGAATGGAGATTTTGCAGTGTCCTTCCTGGAGTGGTGCGGGAATGGAGATTTTGCAGTTATCCTTCCCTGGAGTGGGGAGGGAATGGGGATTTTGCAGTATTCTTCCCCTGGGGTGGAGTGGGAATGGAGATTTTGCCCTTACCTGCCACACCCCTGAGCCACGCCCCCGAGCCACACTACACTCACCAAGCCACGCCCACAGAACCGGTAGTAAAAAAAAAAAATGGATTTCACCGCTGGCTACAAGCTACTTTCCCCCCCCCCCCCGAGCAGCAAATTTTCCCCCCCCAAAGCAGCAAATTAAAACCGAAGCAGTCCGCGTGGTTTAGGATGGCGATCCAGAAGCCGAACCAAAAAGAGAAAAGGCTGTTTGAAAAAGGATTTCAGATTAAAAACCTTCGGAGGTCACAATGAAGCAACAATGAGAGAATTGCAACGGAAACAGCCGGTTTTTTGGGGGGGTGGAGTCTTTGTTGAGAAGGTCCGTTCTGCGAGAGACTTTGGAAAGGGAGCCACCACTAAAAAGGCCCCGATTATTTCTGTTATTGAGCTCAAACTGATCTCCGCAGCAGGACAACAAGGTTTAAATCTGAATTTAAAAAAACCACAGCAGTGTTGTTTCAAAAACCATATAGGAATAAATACTCGGCATTTCCTTGGAGTTTATTTAGCATACCCGCCTAGATATTCTCCCTTCCTCTTAACTCAGACTACGGGTCTCTTGTAGGCAGCTGAATTATTTCTCAATTGAATGAAATAAATTGAATGAAATAAATTGTCCACTCACCTGGTCTCTGGATTGTAGCCCAGGATATAGAAAAAGGAGTCCATTCGGGCTTTGAACTCCCTAGCAGCAAAGATGTCGGAGAAATGAGAGATGTTACATTTCCCCCTGCAAGGAAGGGAAGGAAAAAAAAAAGGAATATCACAGGAATATTACTTAACAGAGAACAGCAAACACCCCCCCCAAAAAAACCCCAAATCTGGTTTCACGTTTTTTTTTTTTAAAAAAAACACCTTCTCTCTGAAACTTTGAAACCCCTCTCTCTTTAAATTTTTTTTTAAAAAGTTTTTTTTAAAAAAAAGTTTTTTATTTTTTTAAATTTTTAATAAAAATATCACATCAATGCGTGAACAGGTGTCACATTTATTTTAAAACAAATTAAACTAATCAGGTTAATCATAATCATTACATTCAATCCGCTTATGTATTTCTAATAATAAGACACGCTTGTATTAAGTTACAGTCTACCATTATTCAATTATTCCACGTTTTCTCTTGTTATTACTGTCATTTTATGGTATAAAAATGTATACACTAAGATTCCCCCTTCTCTCATTTCTATCGCTTATTCTAACTTTTGACATCTCACCCTTTATTAAGAAACTTCTTTCTTTCTTTCCTAACTTCTAATCATGTCACCTACCTAAGAAAAGGGGGAAAAAAAGGAAGAGAGAGAGAAAAGGAAAAGCAACTCAGAACAACAACAAAAATGAGAAATCATCCATCCATCATCTCTTGCCCGCTTCAATGCTTTAATTGCTACGCTTTAAAAGAAAGATAGGGAAAAGGAAAAGCAAATGAAAACAACACAAAAAGAAGAAAAAAATCACGTATCCATCGTCTCTTGCCCGCTTCAATACTTTAATTGCTACGCTTTAAGAGAAAGATAGGAAAAAGGAAAAGCAAATGAAAACACAAAAAGAAGAAAAAAATCATCTATCCATCATCTCTTCCCCGCTTCGATACTTTTAACTGCTATGTTGTTGTTTTTTTACTTGCCTCCCGAATTCCTCTCTTAAATCTTTGTCTCTGTCTGCTTTTTGGATGTTCAATCTAGGTAATCCTCTCACCTCTACTCTCTTCTACTGCCCTCTCTGAGAGAATTACTGAATCTTATATATCAAGGAAGAATTTTAATGGGATCCTCATTTAATGGGATTACTTCAAACCAATTGCAAACCATTTGTCTGAAATGGTATAGGGCCGTGATGGTGAACCTGTGGCACGTGGAGCCATATCGGTGGGCACACAAGCTCAGCTCTGGTGTGCATGCAATCTCAGCTCCAGTGTGTGCTGATTTTCGGGCCTTCTGGGCCCACCAGAAGTAGGGAAATAGGCTGATTTTTGCTTCCAGAGGGCCTGGGAGGGAAGCCCGTTTTTTGTTCTTCCCAGGCTCCAGAGCCTCTCTAGGAGCCTGGGGAGAGGAAAAAACGGGCCTACCAGGCCCACCGTGTGCCAAAAGTGGGGGGAGCCGTGCGCAAATGCGTGGGGGGGCATATAATTATGGGTGTGGGCACGCACGCATGTGAACACCCCCCCCCCGGCTCCCCCTGCTTTTGGCACGCGATGGCAAAAAGGTTAGCCATCCCTGGTACAGGGCTTCCTGCTTGAGCAGTGGGTTGGCCCTTCCAGCTTCAGTATCCCGTGAGAATAATCTCATGGGCTGTTTTTTTTAGCTACTCACCTGAGGGCAGCAGCATGGTAAGTGTCCACATAGTCTGAAATGAAAAGCTCTCTGTTCTTGATCACTGGGTCGGTGATAACCAGCTCCCGCCCAGAATCTGTGGAAAGAAAGCCGCGTGTTAGCGGTGCCTCTCGCAGTCAGCACAATTTTCTCCGAAGTCCCTCAAAAAGCCACCTGTCATGTTTAGAGGTAAAAGGAGAGGCCAGGACCATGCTCTTCGTGCACGGAGAAGATCCTGCTTTGGCTCTGAAGAGGTGTAAGGAAAGAGCAGAATCGGTTTGGATAAATCCTGGGCCTTAGTTGGTCTAAGCCAGGTGCAAACAGCTGGATCTGATTTAAGGCTGTTCTGATGCTGTCGTCCTATGTCAGGTGTGCCAGGTTCGGCTTGGCGCCTCACAAGCATCTTGCCATCAAAGGCTAGTGGCTAGTAGTCCCGCCTGGACTACTGCAATGCTCTCTACATGGGGCTCCCCTTGAGGAGCACCCGGAGGCTCCAACTGGTGCAGAATGCGGCCGCGCGGGGGATTATGGGAGCGAGGGGGCGCTCCCATGTGACGCCTCTCCTGCGTGAGCTGCATTGGCTTCCTGTGGTCTTCCGGGTGCGCTTCAAGGTGTTGGTTACCACCTTTAAAGCGCTCCATGGCTCAGGACCTGGGTATTTGCGGGACTGCCTTCTGCTGCCGATAGCCTCCCACCGACCAGTACGCGCCCACAGAGAGGGACTCCTCAGAGTGCCGTCAGCCAGGCAATGTCGGCTGGCGACCCCCAGGGGGAGGGCCTTCTCTGTGGCAGCTCCTGCCCTCTGGAACGATTTGTCCCCGGAAATACGAAGGATATCGGATCTCCGGGTCTTTCGCCATGCCCTGAAAACTTTTCTTTTCCATCAAGCAGGGCTGGCGTGAAACACCCCCCCCCACACTTTTTAAGTCTTTTTTAGTTTTTTAGCTTTTAAATTGTCAATGGGTTTTAATTTGAATTGTTTTAAATTTGGGCCAAAGTCATGTAATTCTTTTAAAAATTTTAAATTTTGTATTGGTATGTGTTTTAGTTCTGGCTGTGCACCGCCCTGAGTCCACTAGGAGAAGGGCGGTATACAAATTGAATAAAATAAAATAAATAAAATAAATAGTGTGTGTGTGTGGGAGGATAGATGGGTAATAAAGCTGTGTGTGTATAAGATAAGAAATTGGGAGGTGGGAATGACAGGTGATAAAGACCAGAGAAGCTCGGAAACGTGATTTTTACCAGCATCCAAGGCCAGGCACCCCGGGAAAGAATGTGGATTACCCCAAAGCCTCTCAGTGTTCTCAAAACACTTCAGTGAGTTCTGATTGGCCGAAGATAAGACTGGTCACTGGGGTGTGTGTGTGAGGGGCTGGGGTGAGAGGAAACCTTTCTGTATCTTTTGAGAAACCCAGATCTAGCCTGACTTCACTGCAGCAGAACCTTTCGCTTCAACCAAACGGGAGTCGATGGTCTTTCTTTCCTAAGAGATCAGATTGGGACAGGCCTGACACTCTAGTATAGATCCCACATTAGGTCTCCTTGGAACCCACTGCTTCCTTTTACACCCATCATGTTGGGAACTGAAAGATTCCACGGGGATTCAGCTGTGGAGCTTCCTTTCCCCAAAAGACATCGTGCAGTCAGTCGAAGGGAAAACTACCAGCTCATAAAACACGGTGTCTCCCTTTTTCTTTTGAAGTTCTTGTTCCAGCTCTTGTGATCAAAGGAAGACTGGGAAAAAGTCTTCCCCAAATGTGAAAATCTGAAAAAATGTAAAGGGAAGCTTCCACACTCCAGCACTTAATTCCACTTTTTTTATTTATTTATTTTTTTTGGAGGATTTCCCTTTGGCCCCAACGTCTTCTCCACGTGGCCAGAAACAGGCAGGAAGGTGCCTGTTGGAAGGTTGACACTTCACAAGCTGGTAGCCTCGGGATGCAACACCCACCTCTGTTACAAATGGAGTTTGAATGCCACGAGCAGAACAAAGAGAAGACAACCCGCTCAGAGGCCCGGCAACGGCTTCGCCACCCCCACCACCCCCAACTTACCGTTTTCGTTGTGTCGGTCCTGGACCAAATGTTGGTAAACGGAATCCGGGACTTCGGATTGGCGGTAGTACCACTTGACGTTCATGAGCAGGTGGTCCCGCTTGCTCTGGAAGAGAAGGAAGGAGAAATCCATTACGGACGAGGGAACCGGAGCAGCTTGCTCGCTGACGCAGCGCTAGGTGGGCGGATGTGGCGGCTCGCTGCAAGAAAAGTGAGTTGTTTGGCCCATGAGAGCAGGGAAAGGAGCAGGGGTGGGCTGCTGGGGGTTCGGGAGAACCTCTAGCTAAGATTCTGTGCAGTTTGGAGAAGCCACGAATTCCACTCTTGGCTGGTCCTGCCTGCCCCATCCCGCCACTCCCAGGAGTACCCACGTGGCCCGTTTTGGATGCAGGTAAGTGCAGGGCGCATGCGGAGGTTCGCGGAGGTGAAAAATGGGCCTACCGGAAGTTCAGGAAGGCCAGAAATGGGCCCGTTTCCAGCCTCCAGAGAGCCTCCGGAGCCTGGGGAGGACGTTTTTGTCCTTCCGGAGGCTTGAGGAAAGCCTCCAGAGTCAGGGGAGGGCAAAAATGCGCTTCCTGCAGTGGTGCAGGAGGCCGTCTAGGCCACGCCCACCATGGCCACGCCCAAACAGCAACCGGAAAGAGAACCCTTTGCTAAAATTTTTGAAGGCCACCCCTGGAGAGGAGAATGAAGAGAGACCTTCTCTGTGGGCAACACCGCATAAGGACAACACACAGCACTGCCCAAACACACATCGAAAGCTCTCCTTCCAAGGAAGGACAAATTGTGATAATAAAACATCTGCCTATACAGGTTAGTCCTTGACTAATAGTGACCGTTCAACAGTTATAACAGCGTTGAAAAATAGTGACTCCTATTTCCCATTTCACAACTCTTGCAGCATCCCCACGCTCGTGGGATCAAAAGTCAGACGCTTGGCCATCGATTCGCATTTGTGACGGTTGCAGGCCCCCCGCGATCCCTTTTTGCAACCTTCTGACAAGCAAATGGCTTCAATGGGGAAGCCGGATTCCCTTCCCAACCGTGTTACTAATTTTAACAACCGCAGGGGTTCGCTTAACAACCGTGGGCAAGAAAGTGTCTTGCTTAGCAACAAAATTTGGGGCTCAGTTGTGGTTGTAAGTCGAGGACAGGTGCCTGCCTGGCCTATGGGCAGAGGCAAAAGTAAACTGAGGGATTAAGTTGCCCTTCCAAAATTCTGACCTCCAGCAAACAGAGAAGTTCATCTAGAGAGGGCTGGCGGAAACCTAAGAGCCTTGCTAGTACAGTGGTCTAAAGCACCCTGTTATTAAGACCAGCTGCCTGCAATTACTGCAGGTTCGAATCTCGCCAAGGCTCAAGGTTGACTCAGCCTTCCATCCTTTCTAAGGTAGGTAAATTGAGGACCCAGTTTGTGGGGGCAATAAGCTGACTTTGTATAAAAATATACAAGAGAATGAAGGCTATTGCTTAACGCATTGTAAGCCGCCCTGAGTCTCCGGAGAAGGGCGGCATATAAATCAAATTAAAAAAAAAAGATGCTGATCAGTCTGTGGTACAGAGATGGGTTTCAGCAGGTTCTGACCAGTTCTGCAGAACTGGTAGCGGAAATTTTGAGTAGTTCGGAGAACCGGTAGTATAAATTCTGACTGGCCCCGCCCTCATCTATTCTCTGCCTCCCAAGTCCCAGCTGATCGGGGAGGAAATGGGGATTTTGCAGTATCCTTCCCCTGGAGTCAGGTAGGAATGGAGATTTTACAGTATCCTTGCTCTGCCACGCCCACCAAGCCACACCCACAGAGCCGGTGGTAAAAATTTTTGAAACCCACCACTGCTGTGGGATCTTTAGATTAACTGCTGGCATAAGTTTTTTTTCTTGGCTAAAGCCCAGCTCCTTAGGTCACAATCTCCCATGCTTATTAGTGCTTGCCCCACAGAAAAATGGGGGGTGGGTGGGAAACGTACAGAAAGAGTGCAGAGAAGAGCAACCAGGATGATGAGGGGACTGGAGGCTAAAACTAATACGATGAACGGTTGCAGGAACTGGGCCTGGCTGGTCTAGTGAAGAGAAGGACCAGGGGAGACAGGATAGCAGTCTTCCAATATTTGAGGGGCTGCCCCAGAGAGGAAGAGACTGGACTGCCATCTGTCAGAAATGGTGTAGGATCTCCTGCTTGGGCAGGGGGTTGGACTAGATGACCTACAAGGTCCCTTCCAACTCTGTTAATCTGTTAAAATGGACGTTTTCACCATGCACAACATTCGGAAGAGTTCCCAGGTGGCAGATTCAGCAGCTCTCCTGCCGGAGCCACGATTTAGGTAGTCCTCGACTTACGACCCGCAGTCGAGCCCAACATTTCTCTTGTTAAGTTGAGGCATTCGTTAAGTGAGCTTGGCCCCATTTCACAACCTTTCTTGCTACGGTTGTTAAGTGAATCACCGCAGTGGGTAAGTTAATAACCCGGTCGTTCCATGAATCTGGCAACCACCGTTGACTTTGCTCGTTAGGAAGTCGCAAAAGGGGATCGCACGACCCTGGGGTACCCACAACCGTCGTAAATAGGGACCAGCTGTCCAAGCGTCCGAATGTTAAGTCCCGTGACCGCAGGGATGCTTGCAAAGGTCGTAACTCTGAAAAACGGCCGTTAAGTCACTTGTTTCGGTAACTTTGATCGGTCACTAAACAAACTGTCGTTAAGATGAGGACTAGCTGTAACTGGTTCTCAAGAGGTGATTCTGAAATGCTTTAGAAGCCTAGCAATTTATTTAAGTAATGTGTGGGGCTAATTCCATTCCTCTTTCTTTTCTCTGCCCTCCTTTCATCCCCCTATATTGCTAAGATCTCTCTCTTTTTGAGGGGATAGGGAGAAAGCCCATGTAATACTGTAGAAAATCCAGCCCGTGGCAGCATTGTCCCAGGGAAAAAAAATAATAATCAGGGTGGTGTTTTTTTGTTTTTGTTTTACTTTTTACAAACTGCTTGCAATGCTGTATGGCTGGCATACTGGTTTTTTTTTATTTTTAAACGTGGTAGAAATGAGAAAAATACTGTGGGGCAAAGGAGCTTCAGGAATCGGCAGCTGAACCGCCCCAGCCTAGAGAAGGGATTAAATTAAAATTAAAACTGAACTCTGGTGGTTTGGTGGCCGAGCTCAGTTCTTCCTGCAGAAAGGATCTCAGGGAGCAACAGGCAGGGGTGGGCTGCAAAAATTTTAGCAAGGGGTTCTCTGCCTGGTTGCTGGGTGGGCGTGGCCAGGGTGGGCGTGGCCTAGTCGGCCTCCTGCACCATGGCCGGGGTGTGTGTGTGTGTTGTTTTTGCCCTCCCCAGGCTCCAGGGGCTTCCTGTTCTCTCCCCAACCACACGCACACACACCAACAGACGTTCAAGAGTTAAAGACCAAACCAGCCGGCAAAATCCTTTTCCTTATGATAACGGAACTTGGCAACAACCTAGTGGCTGCCTGCCAAGAGTTTATTACTTACGAAGAGGAGAGATAACTTCTCCCCACTTCTGATACATCAAAAGAAACAGCTCAATAATTACGGAGTCAATCAAGTCCAGAGATAATCCAGCAAAGTCTATAGCAAAAAGTCCGGCAATGCAGAATGGTGTGGAAGCTTTCAGCTTTGTTCGTCACAAGGTTTGACTGGCCACCACACTCCCTTTTATACCCTGTGGGGTGTGGTCCAGTGACTCAGCCTAATCTCGGGCACGCCTTTTCTTCTGTTGCACGCGCTTATCTCTGTGACGCTGGCGTGGATCCAGCCAAGACTCATTACCCTCATCACTGTCCATCTGTGGCTGCATGGACGTGCTTGACCCCTATCTCTTGCTCTTCGACGGACACCGAAGGCATTGCCAGAGAGGAGGGTCCTGGAGAGGGAGGCCTTGCCAACTCCTCTCCTTCACTCTCGGGGTCCTCTCCTGCCGATGACACAGGCTCAGGCAACGGAGCCACAACACTTTCCTTGAGCCTCCAGGAGGGCAAAAATGGCCTCCCCAGGCTCCGGAGGTCGGAAAAAGGCCCAAACTTCAGTAGGCCTGTTTTTCGCCCTCCCCGAGCCTCCACGCGTGCCCTGCACTTACCTGCAATCAAAACGGGCCGTGTGGGGACTCCTGGGAGGGGAGGGGTGGGCGGGGCCAGCCAGGAGTAGGATTTGGGGCAGTGGTGAAATGTAAAATTTGTTACTACCAGTTCTGTGGGCGTGGCTTGGTGGTGGTGGGGTTTAATGTGACTGAGTGGGCGTGGCCAACTTTTTTTTAAAAAACTTTTAAAAGCCGAAGAGGTTGTAAAAAAAAAAATGCTGTTAAAAGCCTCTGATGATCCCAGCTGAGCCGCGCGATCAACACTAGGATCAAACTCTCAGCCTCCTGATTGCGAGGTAAGAGTTCCATCACAAGGTCACCGCACCAGGCTGCATTGCACTGATGAAGGAAAAAGCTGCATCTCTGCTCCGGTCCTGCATGGACTCCGCCAGCGTGCAGCTTCTTCCATCAGTGTTAAGTGCAACCTGGATTGAGAAGTCCAGAATTCCAGTTTCCTGGAAAATCCCAGCCAAATGCCCTGTATTTCGGCTGCATCTTTGCCCTGGAGACCCTTGGGCCACCCAATGCACGGGAACGGAGATTCCCACGGTCTCGGGACTCTTGCATGTATCCCAGCTTAGCACTGGGTCTGAGGATCAATCTAGCCAAGGGTCGAGGATGATGGGGATTGTGGAAAACGGCTTCTGTCCGCCCGACACCCACTTGCCCCCCATGGTCCGTGAATTCAAGAAATCCACCTTCAAGTGCTGATTACAGCAGCCATTTTCTTGCGGGAATAGCTCTCTTTTGCTGGGTTTTTTTTTTTTTTTAATTTGACTTATATGCCGCCCTTCTCCGGAGACTCAGGGCGGCTTGCAATGTGCTCAGCAATAGCCTTCATCCTTTTGTATATTTATACAAAGTCAGCTTATTGCCCCCACAAACTGGGTCCTCATTTCACCTACCTTAGAAAGGATGGAAGGCTGAGTCAACCTTGAGCCTTGGTGAGATTCGAACCTGCAGTAATTGCAGGCAGCTGGTCTTAATAACAGGGTGCTTTAGACCACTGTACTACCAAG